CGTATACCTACACCCACACTTACACCTACACCCACATGTGCACTCATTCCAATGTCTCCGTCAGCGAAAAATTCTTTCGGTGAAGTTGGAATTCGGCGAAAATCGTCGTCGGCGAAAAACAAATTCGGCGAAAATGGAAATTCCCACATATACAACGTTAACACAGGAAAATTTTTTTACGTATTGATTTTACCATTCATTTATTGTCTGGTATATCGAGTCCGTCTATAGGCCCCACTCCAGTTACTAACGCTCAACCGTTTCTATCAATATCGACCAAAACTACAAAGCAACATGAAGCTGAATTTATGTGATTCAAAATTATTACAAGGCATTTTAATTCATATTAAATGAACGGAAAAAGAAATGATGGAATTTTGTCGTGAAAAATGTGCTAATAATACAAAAAAAGACTTGAATTTTATCGAAGAATTCGAAGAATATTATAAGGCATGTAATGCAATCTTTTGGTACACACGTGCTACATTTCTCTATCGTCTATTAAACAAAGCACCATGAGAAGTCGATATCAACACTCTCTATTCGCTGCGATATTTTATTAAGGATGTTTATCTACAATTAGTAGAACATCATATTTTACAACAGCGGATATCAAAAACTACCTGTAACAAAGAAACCATCTATTGAAGACAATAAATGACCACTAAAGAGTTTGCTCAGAAAATACGACATAATGTGAGAGGTCTCTTCTCAGTAGTCAGTTTTTTATCCACAACAATCCATGAAAACGTTGCTAGTTTCTATGTTGGTCATGGGAGCAATTATATCGAAGACTCAGATACATAAAGAGTTTTATTTGAAATTGATATTAATAAGAATGTAGACAAGTTTCCCTATGCCGATATTTCTCAACAAGGTATATTTGAGAAGGACGAAGGTGAAATATTATTTGCGTACAGTGGGAGCCGCATTTCGAATAGAATCCATTGATCTGAGCGATTAAGGCTTCTGAAAAGTTTATCTTAAGTTAACCGATGATGACGATGAAGAACTGAGGAAATTAACTGTACATATAGAAGATTATATTCTCTCTTCAAACCCGTTATTAAACTTGGAAAAATTGTTGATAGAGATGACGAAGTTAAATAAAACTGAACAATACTTTCTTTCTCTACTCCAGCATTCTACAATTACTGAAGACTTTTATTAGCGTCCTTCTTATTCGAAAAAACAGTTAATCATCACTGTTAAGAATTTCTAGTTTGATTAAATAACACTAGTAATTTGTGAATGAGATCATGGCTCCATTTACAAAGAATTGCATCAGAAAATCAAAGCCATAAACTGAAATATTTACATTCAAACTTAGCGGTGGATTACAGTAATATCGGAGAGATCTACTATCAACAATGTCACTATGAAAAGGTCGTAATAAATTACAACAAAGTATTGGAACCTCGACTAAATACAAGCAAGTCAGATAAAATTTGATGTGCTAAATGCTACAGTAACATTAAGAATGGTTCTGAATCTTGTTTGCTAAGTTTTTTTTTTCTATAGATAATACTTACTGTCATTATATTTCATAATAATTAAACATGGTTATGGTCAAGTATATTATGCACAGCAGCGTTATTTGGAAACATTGGAAATGTATGAAAAGCTCTAGAACTACAATTAAAGGTGTTTTCAAAGAATCTTCCATATCTGGTGACAATATACACAAACATTACGTGGGTTTATCACAGCCAAGGTGACTGTGATAAAGTAGTAGAATATTTCATGAAAAAAATTGAAATACAAGTAAATTCATTTCCATCATATTATTCCTGGTTACGTACAACTTATGAAAATATCACTTGGACATGGTATAGACAAGGTGAATTGGCTGAAGCATTAGAGTATATGAAGAAAGCATACGAAATGAACTTCAAAAAACTTACACATGATCATGAACGTCTCAAACAATGCCAACAATGGATTGTTCGTTTGGAAGAAAAACTAAGTCAGGTTGAAGAAAAAACACATTAAAATCACTGCACTGTCCTATTTTCTCGCTACAAAACCTCTAATATAAACCTTTTTTTTCAATTCTCCATAGCTATAATGCTATAATTAAAGCAGAATTTTTTATTTCTAGTAATTCCAAAATTTTCTTATTATTAATTCTTCACATAGTCAATAAGTAAATTAGGTTCTGTACGAGTTTCCATTATTTCTTATCACTACTTTCCGTTTGAAAAAAAAGTAGTACAGAAAAAAACAGGGTGTGAATGTTCTCTTTATTTGTAGCCTCAATCCTGTAAAAGCACTTATTGCTCATAATGATCTGTTACTTTCTTTTCCACACAACCCCCTAGCCAGTCATATACGTACCAATATGAGGAATGGTTTTACTAGAGTTTCAAACAATATATCTTTTAAATTTCATCGAGAATCAAACTATAGGGAATATTGACTTTTGACTACCAGACGTTGGTTGTCTGCTTTTTCTGCAAGCAATTTCTACGACAAATACTATATCACAGTCTTGATATTTCATACAAGATGCATGAGATATATTTTTCTCAGTTTGGCAACATTAGCTCCGTATTGACGTGATTTGTTTTGACATTGAAAGTATAGGGGTGAGTGTGGAGTTAGGGCAAAGAGGAAAAAAGGGTGTATCTGTATTATTATGTATTTCCAAGTATTTCTAATGAGTTTTTAAGCATTGCGAAACACATAAAAGTACATCAAAAATACTTGAAAATACTTGAAAATGCTTGGAAATACATAGAAATACAGAAATACGCTTTTCTCAACATACCCTCACGCCACACCCACAATTCATAGCCCTAATGAAAACCACATCTATTCTCTTCGACAATTCGACATACAGGAAGTGCCATTAAGAAATAATTAGTGCGCGACAAAAGTGTCCACCATATTGAAATGAACACTTTTATATTATTTTGACATATGAGAATAGAATGCAACACACCTATATAGAGGAGTTCGAGACATTTACGCACCACATAGTGGTTTCATAGCTGCTTGCTTCTTCTTTGAGCAAAGCGAAAATATGTCGATCATCGTGTTATTTAGTAATGCAGCAGCCAAATGCTGTGCTCCGATGTCTCGATTTCTATTCTGTATAAGATTGAGCATGGCGAGTGTCTGTGTAAAAATGTGTACACTGCGGATATAATAAAGATGAAGAGGGAATGAAGGTGGGTGCGGCTCTGACTCAGGATATTGGGTGTGGGTGTCCATTTAAAGTTCTATCACACGCACACCCACGCTCACGCGTACTTGCGTGCCAACACCGACATTCTACCCACCCATCCACACACCCACATCCACACCTTCATACGCTGCTTCATTTTTTCAGCGACTAAAAAACAAACGAACACACAAAATGTTTTTTTCCAACATGAGTATCTAGGTTAATCAAACTTCCAAACGATGCAAAGACGGTCGTAGAATGAAAAAGAACGAAAAAAAGAATCGTCTCAAGTGTCAAAAGCAATCTACAACATAAATTTTACAATCTTCACAAACAGCATCACAGCTTGTTTTGTATTTTCTATACATGAATAACTGTATATAGTAAGTAAGAAAACACACTATTGATCCTTTTTACAGATATAACACAAATTCGAATGAAAGCCAATGATATGAAACGTTGACAAAAATTATTAAAACAGTATTATTCGTAAAAGATGCTAACACCCACGAACACCCAGCTTTTTCACCTGAGGGTCCGATTACCACTCCACAAGGTAGAAGTCTACTAACTCATTCTACAAACACCCACTAACACCCGCTGAAACAATACTAACAGCCTACAAATATCCACCAGAATACTCTAGTAATCATTAGCACAACAACTGAGTGCTTTTTCACATTCTCCGGTCAACTTCAGTTTACCGACATTTGATCTGTAATCTCGAACGCGAGTAGCAGGAGAACGCTGAGAACTTTACATTGAGATTTGAAGAAAATTTGTTCTTCAAAATATGATTAGTGATGACGAAAGTATGCTGGTAGGTGTTAATGTGCTATTAGTGTGGATTTAGGAAGTGTTAGTGGATGCTGGGCGGTGTTAGTGTACAACAGACCTCCTCGATTCCCATTGAAAAAATAGATAAACGGGCGTTTGTGGAGTGGTAACTGAGTCCTCAGTTGAAAACGTTGGGTGCTAGCATAATTTTACTAGTGTCTGTATCAAAATTATATTCTATATAGATTATTTGGTTATTTTTTTTTAATCTTGATGTAAACTTTCAAACATCTATTAATATAGGTGAAAATTTTATGCTTCGTTACTGGTAAACAACTTCACATATATAAATTTCGAGACTATTACTTAGAGTTCTCTGGGACAAACTTTTTTCTGGTCTCGACTTCCGTTTAGATGTAGGTGTACGAAAAAAACCAAACATGCTACTCTATGAAAGAAGGCGAAGACACATTTTTTATATGATCAATAGGGAAAATATATGCGTGTAAAGTATGAGTATGAGCCTTCTTCTTCATAGCATCCCACCCACACTTAAATGCACGACGTGTTTGATGCATAGTGTAATAAAACTCAGTCTATCGATTTTTTTTCTATGGAAGTCTGAACCAAAAATTTTTCGAAACTGCCGCGCAGGGCTCTTCTATAACTATATAAAACACAAATATAAATATTCAAAAGCATATATTTATATATATATATATATAATATTTCGTTGTTTTCATCAAATCACTAATTCAAATAAATAGTAGTTTCAACTTTCATGATAAGATTTTATATAATATAACAGTTTAAGACTTGTTAGATAGTTCAGCATAACATTTTTCTATTGAACAACAATAAAATGAGTCGATCAGCAATGATTTGTTTTGATAATAATATTCTCAGATTTCACTTCAACGGTAAAATCAATTAATAGTCATGTTTTATGATATGATGATTAATGTCATGTTTCTCATTTATTAAATATACAAAACATTTACAAAAGTATCAGATGAATTCAGCAGAACAATTAAGAGCATTTATCGAGTCAGAAAAACATAAATTAGCCAAGCCATAATTGCCTTTTTTTTTATGTTCCAAGCCTTGATTAAAATAAGACAACATAGCTTCCGTACTCAAATGGCGCAACAATTGCTTTGTATTATTAACTTCAATAATACGATCAAATAAAAGACCATCGTACCATTCTCTAATATCGTTGTCTTCTTCATTATTGAGAACAATGACTTTATAAATTGGATCATTGATTAATAATTTATCTATTCCAATAAGATCCTTCGAGTTGCATACGATTATTCTTCTTGATTCTTTATGATTCTTTAAAGTTGCTGCTAAACCAGTAATATCCGGACAAGCGATGACTACTTTACCTAATTTACATGTTGGCAAATTAGATAAATTCATAGTCATTATTTTCAAATCTTTTACAACGTAGTCTAAACCATTAGATTTTTTTTAATTTTATATTTTATGGTAAAAAAATTTTAAACTATCCCAAATTCTTTTTATAAGAACATCGACTTATTCAATTTCTTATAAATATATTCATTAAAACTTGAACATGTTTATTTTCTTTAATTTAAAAGAAATATTCAAAAGAGAATGACATTTTTTACTTATCAGACAGTATTTCTACGAACGGAAAATTCTTCTTCAGATATTAATAGTTAAGAGATATGACGTAATCAACTAAGCCATTGCTACTAGTAATAATCTAACGGTTCAATTTATTCACCTTAGAAATGGGACAGTTCCTGATCAAAGAACTTAATTTGGTATCAGTCGTCCAGTCCTTTTTGAAAGAACGAAAAATGGATGGCAGTTCATTTTAAAAGAATTGAATATAGTAGCCAGTTCTTTTTTGATTAATAGAACAGGTATTCAATGTAATCACTTAGTTACCTTTACTGATAGAACTAGTTCATATGAAAAGAGCTGGTCATTGATCCTAGTTCTAGGAAAAAAACTGGTTACTGCAACCAGTTCTAAAAAAAATCAACGGGTAGCTAGATTCAACTCTCGAAAAAAAAAGAACCAGTTCATAGAATTGTCACAGGTCTATTCGCATTCAAAGAACTGATACTAATAATCAGTTCAGCTCTTTCATCAGAAATTGCCCAGAGTCCTGCAGAGCAGAGTTAGAACATAGAAAGCCTAGAATAGAGCAGGGTAGAGTAAGAATGGTACGAAAAAACTGTTGGATAAATTGATGGTATTGCTCATATTGCTAAGAGTTTTTTGATAAGCAATGTATAATGTTACAATGTAAACTGAGTAGATAGAACGAGCATCTAAGGGACAGCAATAGTGTATTGTTTGCACATTTTCATCTACTATAAGCTGATAAGTACAGTGACTTTGGAATGTTTTGTCAGTTATCGATGAGAGTTGAAGAAGAACTGCAACCGAATTCACTCGTATATTATTTATTTAACAGACAATGATTCAGCCTTTGTTTCTGACTTGAAAAGAAATGTGACAAATTCACTTGGGTGTGACTATAGATATGAGTGCAGTTCTTCTTCAATCGACATCCCACACTTAATGACACTTTATTTTTTACAAAATTTTTGAGATATGTGATAATTTTGTATTTAAAGATTACTACATATTCACAAAATATGCTGAAATATTGTTAAAAAAAGCCTCCTGTTCACATCTGCCTAAGTCTAGAACTCTGTAGATATGCTAGGATAGGGTGCAGAATACGAAAAAGTCTTACAACTATAGGGGGAAAAGCGTATTTCTTTATTTTCCTATTTCCACGTATATCTGACATTCAGGAACACTAAGAAATATGCTTGTTCCCTTTGTAGAACTGTAAGTTGTAACAGATCTAATTAACCTACGCCTCTATTGACGACTTTAAAAAAAACAAGTATCTTCGATTAACAAGACACAGGCTTGCCAACAATCATATACGGCGAGGTAACTTACGATGATTTACAGAGCTAGATAGACGTTTGTTTACTCTCCGTAAATACAGAAGCTGTAAAAGGTCTTTGTTTTGCGAGTTGTTTTTCTCCATAAATGACTGTATTACTCTGTATGAGTAAAACTCTCTACTTTAGCCGGCTTGCATCTCATTTATTTATTTACCTGCCATCATTATTAAATTGATATTGAGTTCTTAGCAGAGTTCTGAACCAATTTAATTAATTAAGACGCTTAAGTTATATCTAAAATAGAAAAAGTTCTTTAGATCTTCATTGTTCAATAGAAAATATTTATTGGAAGATTAAAAAAGATTAAGAAAAAACCCCATTTCAATCCAACAACAAATTCTTTATCTTATGATGAAGTCTATATTAAAAATTTTTAATGAGTAAACGATGACACTCTCTCTATTTCCTCTCATCGAATCGTAATGAATTTCAATATAATAATTCTGATCTAATAAATATGTTAAAACTAGAAGAATAATCAATATATTTTTATATTTTTATTAGTATTTTTATTATTAGTTCTTGTAAAATTTTATCCAATTTTCATCTTTTTCCATTAGTTGTGTTCGATTTGTTTAAATATATGTTGGAGGGAAAATTAAAATTTTAATCTTTCTAGGAGAATTTTAAATTCCTCTCCAACATATTCTATTAATTCTTGAAAAGGACTATTTTTATATGTTTCTCTAACAGCGACTAAAGATATCATTTGTCATCGTTTTTGGTGCGATAAATTAATAAAAATTAGCTCAATTTAATATTGAACAATGTTTAAAAATCCGTGCATTTTTTATCATTTTATTCTCACTAAAATGCTTTATTTTCAAGGCTTTGTTAAATATATTCACAGTTCAAAGAGTATAAATAATACGTTCTCTTTAATAGTAACTTACGTTTTCATTATTCGGTATGATATTCATGCAAAAATTTTTGTAAATAGAATCGAAGTTTACAGACAGAGAATTCAGCTATATTATATTATATTTATAATGTTTTTTGATTCGATTCTCAGATCACAAAAAGTAAGTAATTAATAACAATCATATGGCTCATCGATATCAACCTAATTTACTCAGGTCAAACAATCAAACGAAAGTCGTACAAAAAATTGTCGTCTTAGAAGTTTTACAATAATTCGAATTATAAGATTTTTTGAAAAGATCTTGCTGTCTTGTAAGATATCATCAGAAAATTATAGGAATTTTCGTGTCGCGATGACATCTTTCGAGAATGTTAAAATACAATTGACTGTAAGAGTTCTGAGACTATAATTTTTCGTACGATTTCATCTAATCGTACAAGATCTTACGTCTGATTCTTTTATCTGGGTACACATTTGTTTGTTACAGGTGTAATTTACAATCTTGAAACAATTTCGTTGTTCTTTAGCGAAGTTTCAGTAATTATCTAGTTTTTCTAATTAATCGATTCTTCACAAAAACGGCTCACCCTCCTTAACTCTAAATCTTGTCACAGTGAGCAACGACTCTCTGGTCAAGCATCTGATTTTCCCCAATTCTGGTGGTCGTAGAACACTTCTGTTAAGAATAACGAAGATTTTTATAATGTTTCTAAAAAATGTAATGAGCATTTTTGGGAAAAAAGAATAGATAGTAATCTCATTTATAATTCATCAAGATAGAATATTAGAACTATTCAACATAGAATTGAACGTTAGTTAATCATATTATCAAACTAAACAAATAAAATATGATGTAACAACGTTGCAATCTATGTTTTATGTTTCTGTATAACCATATTTTCAATAGTCCAAGTTATAAGACGATTTGGTCAAATGTATTATCAACGAATTCATTGTTAAAATTATTCGATGCATCTTTGCTATAAGTTAGTAGATCATGTGGGTACCGACGTTTTCAATGGAAATTCTAAATAAAATACTTCTGTACACTCAATCTATATTAATAAATTATACATGTACAGTTTTTTGCCAGAAGTGACATGTATGTGTTAGCGTCCAATCTTGGATCATACAAGAATTTTTCATTAAAACTTTCGTTACTATTCAGATTCAATGTTGGATTGAAATTCTTGTTGGTAAACTGTGTTGAAAGAATTGCATTTCAGGTAATGCCATCGTCGATGAAATTAAATATAGTTTCTTCAGCAGCGATCATGATAGTTGAAGTGCTATTGTTTCAACATCGTCTACCAAGGAGAATTCTAATTCAATATTTATCTAGTAAATAACAGAGGCTTTAATAAAAAAATTTTCTTCAATCGGACATAGAGGATGACAGTCTACAATAAGAAATTTTTTTCGTAAATATGAATAAACAAAAGTAAAAAAATTCTTATTTTTTCGTTGGACAAATAATACCAACGAATAATGAAGATAATGATGAACAAAACATACGCTGTTGTTTTTTTTTTCACGTAATTTAAGAGAAGCTGAAGACTAAAGAATGAAAAATATATATAGTAATACAATTACTAATAGATTTACTACCATTGCAATTTCAAAATTCATCAAGTATCTTAGCAACAATGGAGTCTTATTATGGTGAAGAAATTTATAGCTAGCTATAGTAATAGTTAAACACTGGTAGAAAAATCATTGCTGCATTTTGCATACCAATCATATGTGAGGATGTCACTAAACTATAGATACATACATTGTCATGTATTCTAGAAATCTCTAGTGAAAAAATCTATTTTGAGATAATGATTAAAAACTTCTTGATTATTAATGAATTTAATTCTCAACTGCAAAGAGGTGCTGATTAAAATTTGTATAGGCCAAATATTGGATCATTTATATGACATTTTTATTCTTTATTCGTTCTGTTTTGTTACATGAAAAGAACAAATTTCTGTCTTTTTTTCTTCACATTTCGCTTGCGCACTTGTCAATGTCTAGGACGAAATAAGTAAATAACTAATGCTTGCCATCATTTCTCTGTCTAAGGTGACTCGCGTGTAAAGGTGTGAGTGTGCGATTGAGTTTCCTTCTCATACCCACCCACAACCAGTTGTACCACTAACTAAGTAAAACATTAAATTTTGCTAATGATGCATACTTAAGAATATAATGTGCACGAGCTAAATCAACTATTTGTACAAGTACATTACGAAAACCATCAATACGATCTTGAATATTTTCATTAAGTTCATCAACTCTGAAACAAAAAAAAATACAAAAAGACAAATTTTTATTTCTTATTAATTTACTTAGCACTTTATAAATTTCATTCACATGATCCATCAACATAATAATCAAAAATAGATATTTCTCTATCATTATCTAGTGAAACTGCAACTAAATTTTTTAATAAATCTGAAGAACGTTTTTGTTCATCAGAACTAAGTACAGATTAAGAAACAAATGTTCAGCAATATATAAAAAAACGTTCAACATATGCATCAATTGTTACATGAGTACTATCATGTAATATAGCATGTAATAAACAAACACTAATCAATAATAAACTTGTTTCAAAATAATAAATTGATCTAGGAAATTTTTTTATTTTCATTTGATTATACCGTGAACATTCTTCTCTGAGAAATGTCATTATTGGATCCATTACTTTATCAAAACACGTTCGAAGATGCTTGAAAAAAAAAACTAAATAAATATTCATTTTATATTTGAAATTTTTTTTATCATATAAACTTCTAAGTTAGACGTCGATCTTTAAGTCAAGCATCTACAATAACTTTCCAATCAATCACAGATTTATCAAAATAAATGAGTCTATTTAAAAAAACAGAAAACTAAAATTTCAAACAAAAAAAAACTTTACTGAATTAGATATAAATAAAGGTGATGCATCAGTTAATGATGATATTTCAAATATAAATTAACGTGATCAAGTAAAAATAGTTTATCAACATTACATATTTGTCATGATAATTCTTTTTCTAATATTGATGGTAATAAATCAGACCATGCTCGACTTATTATGCCATCAAAACAAATCCAACTTGTATGGCGATTCTATAAAGAAAAACTATTTAAAAAAATTCTTCAAATTTATTACGAATTAATTTACTCGATTGGCTTTACGTAATATTGTTGTAAGAATTCTATCTTTCCATCCCTTTGCTAATGTATGATAACCAAATAAGATATTTTCAGATTCAATAGCTAATGGATTAAACTTAAATATCAAAATTTTTCAAAAATTAATTATTGAAATAAACCATTTACCGGCAAAGTTTGTGTTTGTGAAGTGATTTTTTGTGTATAATTTGATTTATTTGAAGCTGAGAATTTTTTTTGCTGTTGAATTAATGTTCGTAATTGTTGTTGTTGTTATTAGATTTGTGAATATATCCGTCATTACTATAGCTGCACTTGATTTACCACTATGTGCTGATTCACATAAAATCATATTTAAATATAATAACAACAAAAAAAAATAAACTTTTTGAAACGCGTACTGGATGAATTATTTGTGCACATTTTCCAATCCAAATGTTTTTAGCTATTAAAGCATGATTAGATGTTTTATCACTTATAATTCTATCTAGTATAGTATGTGTTGCATTTAATGATGTCATTTTAGAATCATCTCGTCAAACAAATATGTCAAATATAAATGTTCGAAAAGTTATTGCATGCTAAAAGACAAAGAATTATTAATTTTAAAAGCAAATTCTATTTTTTCTACTTCAAGATTTAAACAAATACCAATAACATCAAGAATTATTTCAGCCATTGATAACTGGGTGTGAGTGTGGTTGTGGATATTAGTGAGAAGACTTACCCACACCCACCCTTAAGCTCAGTTGTCTTTCTGTAAAACTAGATAACAGCTGACTGTACTTTTTAAAATTAAGATTAAAGAGCGTTTCACGAATGAGTAATCGTTGCAAGTGTAGCCGTCTTCGGTGACAAAATATTGAGAAACGTCACTGCATTGTATATGAAAGGACTTTTTTTCGAAAATTGTAAAAGAAAGTATAACTCTTGGCAATCTGTGAAAAAAGTCCGCTTTCTAAGATATTGTCTTTGATTCTGTACTAGTTAGTGAAGTTTGCCAAAGTTCGCGTTAGGCACGAAATTAAATTCCGAGCAAAACGGTATTTCGCGCAATCTTCACAAAGGAAAAAATTTTATATTGTCTCTGCTTAAAATAATTCCTTACCTTTTTACCTTTCCCATCCCATCTTCATCATTCCACTTTTCAACTATGCCTGTGAAAAATTTTAGATATTGTCTGCAAAAAGATGTAGCCCCTCCCGCTTCCGAAAAGTATCGACAGCCTTGGGAAAAGCAGTATATCTGAAACAATCTTTTCTAAGAGGACATAAGAAAGCTTGCCTTCAATTTTTATGTGATACTATTAGCTGTTACGATAATATTAACAGATTGGTATCTACAATATATCATCGAGTTTCAGCGTCTTGAATAAAGAAATACTAGAATGGTAAAGTTGGAGAAAAATAGAAGAACAGAATTCATGTCTGAGTAAGATTTTGACTATTGTTTACCTAGAATAGTTTGTTAAGTGTAATACTGTACTATTATCACCAAGAGTTGTCTTAAAAAGAAGCAAAAATTTGTTGCGTGTTTCCGAAATATGATATTATATAGAATATGGTTAACGCTGCACTCCATCATTGTTAAAGTATTGATATAGAAGCAGATAAAGTTTACTAGACTTCTCAATTTTTCTGTCTCGCATATGTTTTATGCAAATAAAATTTATGTCACATCTATTTTTAATAGAATTTATTGATTTGCGAAACAATGCTCTTGAACTATTTTCACAGTCCATTACTTTTGTTTCACTCTGAATGCTTTTGAAAAGTCGGAAAAGATTTTTCTTAAGAAACACATAATAAGCGTACTTCTAAATTAATTTCTAGAAAAAAAAATACTTCTTTTTATTTTACTTTGTAAGTGAATGAAAATCATAATACAGACTAAAAGTATAGAGTAGAAAAAAAAAACAATTTTTTGCTAGGACAAAGGCTACATAAAAAAGAAAGGCAAATTATATAGAACGAATAAATTCATGTCCACAAACGTATAGAGGATTGTTCAAGTTTGTTGTTCATGATCCTTGTTGGCCATATATCTGATAAGATTAATGACACTATTTGAACAACCATATTCATTGTCATACCTAACAAATAAAATTATTGCATTTCATAGAGGAAAATATTAAGTAAATAATAGCATACCACGAAACAAGTTTCACAAAGTTGTCATTGAGCGAAGTACCGGCTCGAGCATCAAAAATTGAAGAATAGGTGTCACCAATGAAATCTGTTGAAACAACTTCGTCATCAGTATAAGCCAATATACCTTTCAAAGGACCATCGGCAGCTCCTTTAACTGCAGGACAGAATTCTTTGTAGGTAGTCTAAGCGTTAGTTTTTTTAAATACATGAAATAAGAATAAAAATATAACTTACGCCATTGTTCAGTCGAGCAGTGAGATCAATAGTTGAGATATATTAATCATCAGAACACGGAAAACAATGTCAGTAAATTTTTCATTTAAATCAGGCATTATTTTTCTGATCTAATTAAACAATAACAAAGAAACAAATTTCTTATTCATATTAAAAACAAACAGTAAATATACACCCTTACTGGCACCAGTTGATGATGGAATTACATATTGTGCAGTTCCATGTGCATCATACCAACTCTACAGAAGTAAAAAGCTACGATAATTTTTTCTTGTTTAATTTAGTACTGTATTCGATAGTCCACCAATACTATCTTGTGTATCAGTATATGAATGTACAATTGTCAATAAAGCTTCAGCAAAGCCAAATTTTTCATGAACAGCTTTAACTAATAGTGCTAAACGATTTGTTGTACAAGATACATTTGAAACAAGTGTTTCTTTTCCTGTATATTTATCTCTATTGACTCTCTTAACAAGCATTGGAGCAGTAACTGATGGTACTGCAGTTACAATGTTTTTAGTAACAGCATATAAATGTAGTTGACATTCGTCAATTGCTGTAAATACACCGGCTGATTCAAAGATATATTCAACGCCTTTAAAAAGAAAGAAAATAGTATCCAATCGGCTTATCTTTATGAAGAGTGAAATAAACAGAACGTACTAAGTTGCCGCGATGGAATTTGTGATGAATCTTTTCTAAAAATAAATATAAATGAAACATTCAAACTTGTTAATTTATAAACTTTACTTCGTATAAATTTTGATTTCTGTCCCATGAACAACAAATTTTCCGTCTTTAGTTGAAATTTCACCGTTGAAACGTTCATGTATTAAATTGTATTCTGACATTTTAGTCATGCAATCAGCAAAAACAAATGGATCTTCATCTTCAACGATATGTTTTATTAGATTTATAAACAAAAACATCTAGTATTGCCCATTGATCTCAATAACTTGAATATCTTGTTGAAGTGCAACGTGAAATACAATTCGATCAATACAACTAAACCAATAGATACCAATCCATGGGACAAAAACCGATGGTTTACCGTGGTTTTACCGATCCGGTTACCGGATCGCATTGCTGCAGTTAACAGCGGTAAACCGCTACTTTCGCCCGGCCTGCCACTAAAAAAGATTCGGTTTTTCCGATATAGGAATTTTAAAGTTGGATAAACCATATGGGCTAGCAAAGAAAGAAAAAATTAAGACTATATCACTAGAGAACAAAAAGTAACAGAAAGAAATAAAGCCAGGTGAACATCTTTATTAACCAATACGGTAGGAAAATGTTTCATCGTTCACTACTTAGAATGAAGTATTTCAACAATTTCAGTAGAGCGACTTATCGTAATTATTTTAAGCGTAAATTTCATCCTTCTTAAAACTTGAAAAAGTTACTCTTTTAAAATAATATATTAAAATTAAAAAGGAATGTTGCTTTTCCTTCGTCAGTACAACGCCATATACCTGGTGTAAAATTGAGACAAAATGAAGATGTGGAACAGATTGCGTTAAGATCATGGAACTGCAATATATGGTGCGGGAGTGGGTCCATGATACATCAATATGCATACCAGTATCCGTACCCGACTATCTACACTCACATTCCACATCTACTCACCCACATCCACACCGCTAAAGACTGTCTACCAAAGCATCAATTTACTATTACTAGCATTATGATTTGACATCAACAATCACCATCACCTTTATAAAATAAACCTGAATTAATTTTATCAGTAACACATATTCACTATGTTGAAATACTGTATTGAATTCACCTAATGAATATATTAATAAGTTTGATACTTTGAAAATCATGTAGCTCCTATCCTTTTTTAAATGAACTAATTAAAAAAACAGCAATTAAATCTATGAAATATGTAGGCACATACTAGGTATCATAAACTAATTACAGAATAATGATAGTCAAACCTCTTTACCTTTTTCTGTTTTCCATTGATAGATTAAACAGTGTTACGTCACAGGATGAATAAATATTTTTGACACCCACTGTATATGTAAGAAAAGGAAAGAAAAGAATCATGACACGGGATGATGAATATGTGCAAAGTAATCAAAACGCTTTGTATCATGTTTTAAATCTTTGTAATATAAACGCAGCCACAATCTGTCTTTATAATTTATAGAAAATTGAACTTTTTCTGTGTTTTCTTTTTCAGTAAAGATGTAACGCAGAATGTATGGATTTATAGATATTTAATGTTGTATATAACCCGAGCTTTTGCTTTTTGGCTTTTAGAGCAGTCGTATGCTAAACAATTGAAAATTTCGTATTTTTATAATGCATAAAAATTCAAATTTTTACTTTTTTGCTATCCGAAAAGAGTGTGCCATACAATTTATAAAGTTATACAATTTTTATTTGTGTAAGTTTAAAACTCTGATCTTTGAGTTTTTCAACAATAATGTGTCATACAGTTTATCAATTTACAAGTTGAGCTTTTGCTATTTCAAAAAAAAAAAGTCGTTTTTGTAATTTTTTGTCTACTTTCGAAGCCAAAATAAGTAGATAGCTGTTCATTTAAATTCGAAACTGAATTAGAAAACCGACATGTTTCAACCATGACCATAGTTGTGAGCTGTAAGCTATGATCAGTGATTTCTCACTATTTAATTGCTTTTATGCGGAGATATTGAAAAATATTGTGACATTGCTGGTAAAGTGCATATTTTGACGATGATTCAATTTTCTCTCTTTTACTATCTCCTAGACGTTCGTACGATTTTGAAGCAAAAAAGAAATAGAGGAGCAAATTTTTTATTAAAAAACGCAGTATATTATTAAACATGATGTGCGTTAAATTAACATGGAGAAACAAGTATGAATAAGCGATACGCGTTGGGACATGTACGTATAGATAATATAATGCCGTAGTCACAAACCTAAAACAACATCGCTCATATCAACTGGTTCGAAATATTCAATCTCGTACCGACTCAATAAAAATTACATGATTCGAAAGAGCAAGAAAAAGATGAGCACAATGTGATAATTTTCTCTGAGATATACTCCTAAGTCCCCACCAAAAATTTTTAAAACACATTTTTCAACACAAACAGCAAGGATATTTCGTTCTCTCTATATTTTATCTCAATCATCTTGTATTCGTTCTTTCGTTTTCATCGTTCTCTTCACATCAAGATGAAGGTTAACCTTCATCTTGATGTGAAGAGAACCATGAACACGAAAGAACGAGAAAAAAATGATTGAGATAAAATATAGAGAGAACGAAACATCCTTGCTGTTTGTGTTGAAAAATGTGTTTTAAAAATTTTTGGTGGGGACTTCGGAGTATGTCTCTGAGAAAATATCACATTGTGCTCATCTTTTTCTTGCTCTTTCGAATCATGCAACTTTTATTGAGTCGGCACGAGATCGAATATTTCGAACCTGTTGATATGTCATTACAGTGTTATTGTTGTCATCAACAAGCAAGATCTCATAAGGATATGACAATCAAAAGTATGCCTTTCGAAAATATTCTCTCTTTGTAACATCTCTGAAGTGATGGATGTCGAGTACATTTTTGATTCTCAGGTAGAACATTAACGTTGAATTATGTCATTTTCGTACCGAGGTAACTTCTTTTTCTTTCATGAAAACTTTCCACAACACTTCATGAAATCAATAGCCAAGAGTAGCTAGGTAAAGTAACTCTCCTCATAACATGAGTGACCGAATTCGAGTTCGAATATTAATAAAGATTCAATTGCTTAATATCATTTCGAAAGAAAACGAAAAAACTTGAAACATAACTTTAGTGCAGAGTAGGAATAGATGAAAGTAAATTTAGTTGTAGCTACCCATAATCATAACTAATACGTATCTATATATTTCCCTGGTCAAAATAAACTACGCATTTTATGCTTTCGAATATCCCCCTCCCATTCACTGACACGGTTTGAGTCAATATTTATACTAACGATAAATGTTCAATTTCTCGACTTATCCTGAAAGTTTCAACCGCATACAGTGAGAAATTGCCGAGAAAATTACAAATATGTCTTTTGTACGTAAGTGCGATTGAAATCAAAGCTTAGTATTTTATTTATTTTTCTGTCATTTAAAATTCCATTTGAAATCTTCAATGTGAGTTAGTTAAAATGTGTACTTGACTACCGAAAGAGACATCTTAAGATATCTCCTTCTGTAGTCAAGTGCACATGTTAACTAACTGCCATTTGAGATTCCAAATAGAATTTTAAATGACAGAAAAATAAATAAAATACTAAACTTTGGCTTCAGTGACACATAAGCACATCAGACATATTTGTAGTTTTCTCAGTAAATTCTTATTCTATAGGGCTGCAACTTTCAGAATAAGTCAAATAATTGAACGTTTATTGTAGCTTAAATATGAGCTCAAACTACGTCAGTGAAGAGAAATGATTGAAAATATAAAGTGATTAGATTATTTTGTCCAGAGGATATCGTCAGAAGTTTTAAAACAATTTATTCTAGAAAGTCATCAAATAAATGAATAAATCAAGATTAGATCAATATTTTTTATAGCTGATGTACGAAGTCAGAAATTTTATCACTTGGAAAATGTTCGAATTTATGATGACTTTTTTACCAATTTGACTAAATTCATTTAGCATCGTTATAACATGGAAACTTAATTTTATAATCAGTTACATCTTAAGTACATGAATTCTATTTTGCTAATGATAATACATGTATAATGCGTGCTACAGGAGGCAGCAAGTAAAAGCGTACTCTTCGTTTCACCCACTCAACTGCCATATTATCCTGTAATACACATGGGTTTTATCACTCAGTAAGCTACCGCATACACCATCCTTTCTCTCTACGAATTATGACATATATTGCTGGGTTTCATGTAAAGTTAAAACTCAATTAGTTCATATTTTTTGTGTCCATTCTATTTGAACTCTGCTATATCAAAAAAAAAATACGACCACCCTATTAATTGTCGCCTATAATAAAATCTTTTCGCTGCATTGAAAACCAAAACCTACCATATTCAGAGTACTTAGAGTCTACAGAGCTCCAGAATGATCTAAGCATTGCTATTACATATGCATCCTTTCACATTTCTAAGTCTCAGAAGGGGTGGAAGGTTGATAAAGCCTGTAATGCAGAAAGCAACTAGGAAAAAAGGAATATAGAAAAAATTCTGCTTTCGAATGACACACAATACTATTTTCTTCGAAAACATGCGTGAGTTTTATAAAAGCAGCATCAGCAACAACTGCTACGATGCCCATATAAACTTGTATTTTGGACGACCTTAATAGTAGAAAAAGACGATTTCTTTATAGTTCAACGATCATGATAATGCTTACGGAATATTTCGAAGATGATAGAAGCTAAATAAATGTAATATACAACGATCAAGTGCTCATCTTCTTCAGCAAATAATGTTGTCTTCTGTGCCATTAATAGTTTTGCACTTGTTTCATCTTTTCATATTTAATGAGATTCATTGAATCTCTGTTACTTCTATATAGTCTGACTCTTAGTCTTTAATGACGAAAGCTGCTCGCGATCTAAAAGAGTTATTTTCACGAAGAAAACTGTAATGAAAGACGTAGTTAGTTATACGTATCCATCAGTTAAATATCCTATTGACAAGAAGCGTTACTATATATATCAGGAAAATGTGTAGTTAACTTTAATCATGATAGCTAGTGACGTCGACTTTTTATTTGTTTCTAGCGGGACCTACTGACTATCTTATGGCTAGTTTAGACATATAGGTGTCTGTATAACTTCAAAATATTACGACAAACTCCTCGAAAGATGGACGATTATGAAAGTTTGAAACTGCAACGATGGTCAGCATTTGCTGATAAAGGTATAGAGCATTCATTTGCCGGGATGATGTTGAAAAATGCAGCTTCGTTGGTCTTTCTGTTGTTGAGTTAGTGCAAAA